TGCACCGGGAGAAAACTGAAAGCCTGTAAGTCCTGTCTGCAGTGTCTGGCTTCTTACTGTGAGAAACACCTCCAGCCTCATTATGAAGCAGCTCCATTTAAGAAACACAAGCTGGTGGAGCCCTCCAAGAAGCTCCAGGAGAACGTCTGCTCTCGTCATGATGAGGTGATGAAGATGTTCTGTCGTACTGATCAGCAGTCTATCTGTTATCTCTGCTTGTGGACGAACACAAAGGTCATGACACAGTATCAGCTGCAGCAGAAAGGAGCGAGAAGCAGAGAGAGCTGGAGGTGAGTCGACAAAACATCCAGCAGAGAATCCAGGACAGAGAGAAAGATGTGAAGCTGCTCCAACAGGAGGTGGAGGCTATCAATGGCTCCGCTGATAAAACAGTGGGGAACAGTGAGAAGATGTTCACTGAGCTGATCCGTCTCATGGAGAAAAGACGCTCTGATGTGAAGCAGCAGGTCAGATCCCAGCAGCAAACTGAAGTGAGTCGAGTCAGAGAGCTTCAGGAGAAGCTGGAGCAGGAGATCACTGAGCTGAAGAGGAGAGACGCTGAGATGAAGAAGCTGTCACACACACAGGACCACAACCAGTTTCTACACGACTACCCCTCACTGTCACCACTCAGTGAATCTACACACTCATCCAGCATCAAGATCCGTCCTCTGAGGTCTTTGAGGACGTGACAGCGGCTGTGTCAGAAGTCAGAGATAAACTACAGGACGTCCTGAGAGAGAAATGGACAAACATCTCACAGACAGTGACTGAAGTGGATGTTTTACTGTCAGAACCAGAACCAGAGCCCAAGACCAGAGCTGAGTTCTTAAAATATTCATGTGACATCACACTGGATCCAAACACAGTAAACACACAGCTGTTATTATCTGATGGGAACAGAAAAGTAACAGTAACGAGTCAGACCATCCTTATTCTAGTCACCCAGACAGATTCACTGATGGTGTTTTCAGGTCCTGAGTAAAGAGAGTCTGACTGGACGTTGTTACTGGGAAGTCGAGCAGAGAGGAATAGGAGTTTGTGTAGCAGTCACATACAAGAATATCAGCAGAGCAGGGGGATCGAATGAGTGTGTATTTGGACGTAATGACAAATCTTGGGTGTTAGATTATTTCTTCAACAGTTATAACTTTTATTACAACAATGTCAGCACTCCTGTCTCAGGTCCTCAGTCCTCCAGAGTAGGAGTGTACCTGGATCACAGAGCAGGTATTCTGTCCTTCTACAGCATCTCTGAAACCATGACTCTCCTCCACAGAGTCCAGACCACATTCACTCAGCCTCTACATGCTGGACTCTGGTTTTATTGTGTTGGAGCCTCTGCTGAGTTGTGTAAACTGAAATAGACAGAAGTCATTAATGAGACAGATGTTTAACTTGCTGTGTTTTAAATCTTCAACTTGATTTTTATCCACGCTCGTTGCTGAGATCTGATCGTGGTCACCTGTCAATCAAACTTTATGGGCGGTACTTTGACCTCTTCTCGTCTGTTCTGTAAATGTTTGAGTGTCTTTAAGTGACACTCCTTCCTGTGTCTGTTTAGCCGTGGACTCTTTCACTGCTCAGGATGACTTTTGTTCACCTGAACTGACATTTCTCTGAGTGATAAATATCAACTTCTCTCTGCTCTCCATGTTTGATTATTTGTTTTCATACATTTATATTTTCTGTTGTTTCTGTTCTGATTCAGGAGTCTGAAGAGAGAGAGAGAGAGAGCAGCAAACTTTTCTTTCATGCTGATTTTCTCTTCTCACCACTTTGTACATTTGTAGAAAATCTATAAAATCACACTTAAAGAAATGAGTTAGTCAGAATAAATGTTGTTGTTCATATTCAAAGTGATGTAAAAATGTCCTCTGAGGTGTTTTAAAAATGTAATCCTCCTGATTAAATCAATAAGGAGATAAATCATTGTTTTCTGTGAGTGGAGATTCTGATCAAACAAAGTGATTGTGTGGATGAAGTGAATGTGTTCATGAAATGATTGAACACACTTTACTGATTTGATGTGTGAACAAACTGAAGTTTGACATCCTGAATAAACTCACATGAACTAAATGTTTTCTTCTGGTCTTCATTGCAAACGTTCAAGCGAACAAAAAATAAAATCCTGCTACTGTTTGTACCCGCTGAGCTTCTGTATTCAGGAAGTTCAGCAGGAAATAGATGAAGTCAAATAGAGGGGGAGGAGCTACAGAAGAGAGGAGTAATGACCAGGTTAAGTACTCTGCATATCACTGGAAAACATTCATCTGCTCTTTGTGAGGTATGCAATCAAGCAGAAGCAGGTGAACATGTACTTACTAAATGTAGGAAGTATGTAACACATAGACAGAACAGGAAGTCAGAAATGGAGAGAGAGAGGGACTTGTAAGAAGAGAAAAGTATTTTGGAGGGTGGTGAAAGAGGGAGAGGCCGAAGATGCTTGTTTAAATCTCTTTTGAGAACAGGTCTGTTGAGGGATATTTAAATCCAGCAGATGGCAGTAATGACACTTTTCTGATGTCAGCTGCCAAAGAAGAAGAAGAAGAAGAAGAAGAAGAAGAAGTATTCAATTACAAAATCAGCTTTAAATCTAATTAATATAGATGTAAAGGTACCATTTGTAAAACTGAATACAGAAGTAGAATCAAAGAAGGTCTTGAGTGGGAGTGGAAAGAAACTTTGGAGAAGGAAAAAAAGAGGCAGACATTATTTTAATCCACAACCTTTGATTAGGAAGTCTGTCAGTTATTGTGGAAAGTTAAAATAACTCGACTGAGGCTGGGTCACTGTGGGTTAAACCAATATTTACACTCTATAGGAAAACATCCCAGTGGGCTGTGTGAGTGTGGCGCTCCTGAAACAGTTATACACATATTATTCATGAGAGCAACCCATCCGGGTACTTTGCCCAAACGATGCCGGCCCCGCCCCTTTCTGGGTGAAATCATTCCATCTGAATGAATGGAGGTTAATGGACAAGTTGGCGTCATTACCGATTTAAAGTCTTAAAAAATGAAAACCGTACTTTAAAACTGCAAGTATGAGCCTAAATCTGATGAGCAGTGATGTAAACATTTAAAATATGACATTTCTGAACAGAGATCGGCATCATAACGGTATAAAATTAACCGTGTACGTGAGTGTATGTTCAATCTGCTCAAACGAGTCATCAGAGGAAACTGACTTTAAACACCTGATGAGTCATTATTAACCGTTACCTGAGAGGGATCTTTATTTTTAAATAATCTTTATTTGTAATAGTTTCTAACAGTGTTCAGAGCTGTAATGGAGAGGTTACAGACGTTTACATAAACTCTGAGTTATCAGCTGATTTAGAATAACACATGTAAAGTCACCTGGATGATATTAAAACCTTTTGTCTTCATACCTGAGTGTAAATAATGATGAGTGGGGCGAGACGACGTGTTATATCGAGATAGAGAACTTTTTATTTTGACATTTATTTCTCAGTAAGAGGATTTGGTGTAGTGTTCCTTCGTTTAGAGACATTTTCACCAACATATTTATGAGACGTGACAGTTGAAACGTTGTTAATACGTTAGTGAATGAATGTGTGAAGAATCTGTTAACAGACGATCGCTGCCTTAAAGCCAGCAGGAACACGACAGAGGTCCCACAATTTACCACTTTAATCCTCATCCTCATGTTAATGGCACAAACTGAGTCATTATGATGAAGCTGGTGAAGTATTGTGACCTCTAGTTTTGCTTGTTTCTCACTATACTGAATGTTGAAACAAACAAACATGAAACACAACAAATATAAAGTAGGGATGCACAGATGAATCAGTTCAACATCAGTAGCCTATTGGCTGATATCGGCCCTGTTGGTGCCAAATCAATTTAGTGCTGACTATCCAGTACACTTAACTACTGATTCAGAGAAGAGGTTTTTTATTGGTCAAATGATAAAGTGACCTGTTGAACAAACTCTGACCTGTTTTTATTGTCAAACATGAGAGAAAATGTTGGCATTGTGGGAGTTTACGAAACAAAGATCGGTATCGGAATCAGCATCGGCTAAATTTTTATTTCAATATAAATACAAAATGAAAAGTGAAGATGTATAACTTACTACATGGAAGTATTTTAAGTAATGAAGATTAACTCCACGTTGACCAGCTGCAACATTAAAGAGAAAAACATTTTAATGCATCAATAACTTTAATTAATACAATAATAATAAAATCTTATTTCTCTAAAGTTGGTGTGACAGGTTGAGGTCTTCTTCAACTTTTGGTGCTTAGCCTAAATCCTATTTTCAATTGAGCTATTTTTTTTAAATTTAAGTAAAATAAAACCACTGATTTAATCATTTTTATGAATTAAAATAAAAAGAATGTACTGAATTGCATTTCGTGTAATGAAGTATTTCTACCATGAGAGGGCGCCACAGAATAATCTGATGAGAGTCCAGGCAGTGATCGTCTTTGACTGGAACAATGACTCACTTAGAGATAATAAAACAGTCCACGCAAAACTCTCACAAACTACTTTTAAACATCGACACACTTCCCTTAAATTGTATAAATCCAATCTTCTAACAGAGTTTTTCCAAAGTGTAAAATTTGTACTTTTACTTGTTTCGAGTCTTGCTGTTAGTTTGCGTGTAGAAATGTTGGATGTCCGGTCACTGGAAATTCCGTCAGAGTGAGACCTCTTTGTGTCTCATCTCCTCTCCGTTGTGTAATGCTGCATTCAAGTGCTGCTCGGGTGGTCCAAGTTTGCGAGTGGGGAAAAAGTTGATGTGCAATACGTGAATGAATAAAAAGTATTTTAACATTAACAAAACATATTTAGCCCCTTATGTGATGACTATTCTGACGTCAAGTCGGGCACCCAATTCTTTTCCGAGTTGTTTACAACTTGAGGAGGTGTTCATGTGCATTTTACAACTGGGAAGTTCCTCTTTCCGATTTATCCGACCCCACTTGAACGCAGCATAATAGGTGGTTTGTATCTGTGTGTGTTCGTCTCTCTGATAATCAGATCCGCATGAAGCTGCTGCTGCTCGGTCGGACTCTACGCCCGTCAAGAAGTTTGAAGTTTTGGAAACAACGGAGACTTTTAGAGTCATTTAAAAAGTGTAGCTGTTCAGTCTTGTCTTGTTTTTCTCTACTTCACCGTCCCGGACCCACGGGGGACCGAGGAGTTTCTCCAGACGGGACCGAAACTCTTCGCCTAGCCGTTAGGATGGAACTTTAACGAACAGTTTTTTTTTTGATCCGTCTCCATGGAAACGGAAACCCCGCCCAAATCCTCAGAGGTAACGGTGTCTCCAACTTCTTTAAATATGTATTAAAAACAGCCCGATAAACTTAAAGAGGACATGTTATCCCCCCTCCTCCACCTCCTTTTCAAACAGTCCCCTGTGGTCTAAATGAAACATCTGTGCTGTGCTTTGTTCAAAATATAACATGAATCAAGCACCAGAGGAGGTTTGTGACCCTGTATAAACCAGCTCTCTCAGAACGCTCCGTTTTGGTGTGTGTGTCTCTTTAAATGTAATAAGCCCCGCCCCCTGAGTTTTCCCCGGTAGACATCACTCCTCTGTAGAGAGAATAAAAATGACAGACATGTAAAAGTTTAGCTTTAGTCTGGGGTTGGAGTCCATAGGTGGAGATACCAGGGGAGGGGAGGGGATTTTTTTTGTTTTTTTACCAGAATCCCACTGTGACATCACAAGAGCCGTTTTCACTCAGGATAAAATTTGGATAATTTCTGGAGAACTGCTGTGGAGATTGTCCCGACCTAGCACATTATTTAGGAAATACAAGAAATGAACTGCACTTGTTCCATTTGTGTCAATTATAAATCTAAAATCTCAGTTCTTACAGCTGAAGCAGACAAGATCAAATCGTTCATTTTAATTGAACTTACAGTCAAATACCTGAAATTGGAATTGATTATAGTAAAAGATAAAAAAAAACACCTGAGAATTTGGAACAGGTGAATCCTTGGCTCTTTTGGCCGCAGTATCTCGTGTTTACTGGCTTTGTGTACACACTCCTCACGCTCAAACTATTCTGTCGTCATTCACTGCGAGATGTGTGACTGCACCTGCCAGACGGGTATGAAGTATGCAGATTTGTCTGAACACGCTGAGCTCAGATGTGTTTACCTCTGAGCTACAGCTGTCTGATCAGTTTGTGACTGAGCCCTGAAGCAGTTTTTTTTAATCATCCGTGTAATTAGATCAGAGACGATCTCACTCATCTGAGAGAGACATCGTGGACTGTCAGTGATCGACAATCAAACAGCCTTCATGGAGACGTGTCCAAAACACTGAGATGGTATGTTCAGGTACATGTATGTATTTTGGGTCAGTGAAGACAAACTCAGATTGTACCTTAAGGGTACCTCAAAACATACTTTTAATATGTAAAATTTTATGACAATTTTACATTCAAATATCTGAAATAATAAAAAATTCACTACATCTGTTATATAATATTATTTTTTAAGTACTTACAATACCTCAAATATTTCAAACAGTTATCAAAGCCAGAGAAATCTGTAATTTTACAATATGAAGAGAACTCCCATGATTCCCCGCTATCCTCAACGTCATCTTTTGTAATTGTTTTGGTTGAGAGCCGCCTGGCGGCGGATTTTAAATACCGTGCATTTAAAGGCTGAGCTCCAGCATGAAACCAAAACAACTTGCGCTGCATTGTTGTGTTAGCATGCTAATGCTAGCGATCTTTATTATGCTGGTATCTTCACACTGCATGTAAATTTACCTGAAATGAGCGTGATCTAGAAACACAGTTAAGCAGTGAGTACAGTATGTTATTCTTCTTTTCTCTAGTCCCTCAATTAAACAACTTTTATAGACGAGGGGAGGAGTCAGACGGCCGTCCGGGCGATGTAAACAAAGTGAAGATAGGACTCTGAAAACTCTGAAAACATCACAGACAGTGGGACTCGGGTGTTACACCCATTGTAGACAGTCATGACTCACAGAGTTATTTTCAGAGGAGATACTTGATTTCTACATTTAAGAGTGAAAAATCACATAAAGACTTTAAAGGATATCTTAGCTTAAAACCTCAACACAGCCCCTACAGAGTCTGAACAGTAGTTTGGTTATTGGCCAGGATTTAGAGCAGGATCACCTGGGTCACAATACAAAAGGTGTTTCGCTGTGAGTTCAGGAAAATTGATTTATTCACGCAACACTTTGCTGTATCCATCTTTTTTTGGACATCCATACCAAACAGTCACTACCTTAAGAGTAGAACTGTGGCTGTTTTTCACAACAACCAAAAAGTTGTGGGAAACTTTTCGTAAAATGTTACGAAAACAATTCTGTATGAATATAAAATCAGTTGCTATGAATCTGCAAAATAACCGTCAATGACTCGAGCATTCAGATGAACATGCCTTCACAGATCTGGCACAGGAAGTGTTTTATTTTCTTTGTTTCTTTGACAAACTTGTTCATCAGTTTAAAGTTGTAACCACTGAACCTGCAAACGATAACGGTGACCCATAAACGGTGACCCATATTCCCAGAGTGGAATTCCCTGACTATCCCGAATTCTGTGATTATCCAGGATTCAGAGTTTTGTGTTGTTTGTGGTTTGTGGAGGGTTTCAGCAGTGTGGGTACAAACTAAGGGACAACAGAGGGAATTTTTACTGAACCACAAAATGTAAAGAACCTGTTCCTTCAGAGCTTCAATGTTAGGGTAGACACACACACACACACACACAAATAACTCCACAAGTACACACCCCCTCACTGCCTGCCCCGAGGCAGAGGTCTACTCCACTGTTACAGTGTAAATACTACAACAGAATCCAGGTCAGTGACAAATTAAGATTCTACGATGCCAAGAGCAAAGTGAAGGCTGAATTTTTCACAGCACAGACAAGTTCAGCTTCCCTTTTTTTACTTTCTTGAACCACGACTTCAGGGAACACGTTTATTTTTAACCAGACACAATTCAAATAAAAGGAACTGTTTTCTACCAGGCAGTAGAAAATGATTAAGATTCATCACTTCAGCAGGAACCAATGGGCTTAGAGGTCAGAGCCACAGAGAGGAAATCAGAAAGGACTGAGAGACAGACGATCACAAGTTGGTTTCCATTTTTGTTGACAACAGCAAAACGGTAGAAATGTCCTGAGTCTTGTGGTTGAATCACATGAGAAACATGTTGCAATAAAGTTCTGATTGTTTGATCAGAATCAGACAACACAGAAAGTGACAGGAAGCCCAGCGAGGCAGAGCTTAATGAAGCCGTTGGGGGTCATGTGACTGACCCTGTGTGTTGTCATCTTTTCATGCAGAACAAAAGTGGGATCATGTTGGAGTGGTTAAACAACACCGCCTCCACAGTAAAGAGTCACAGTGACCCCCTGACCCTCCAAACAGCAGGAGGCCGACCCTCAGTGAAGAGGCGGAATGTTTGAGCCTTTATTGACCGCCGCCGACAC